GAAATAATGTACGAAAACGCAAGAAACGTGTACGACACGATGGCGATCATAAGCGAGTTAAACGTAAAACACAGAGGAATGATGGGAAGGAGTATCTGACAGGCAAAGGCAAGGTTATACCCGCAAAGACTTTTAAGAATACAACTTGTGGGTGTGTAAAACGCTGCAATAATTTTGTTAGTGAATTAGACAGAAAGGGGCTGTTCTCTCGTTTTTGGAGTTTGGGGGGTTTTTCTCGTCAAAATGCTTATATTTCTGGACTTGTCCAGCGAGTTACAGTACAACAACGCCGACCGAATGAGCATACCAAGGCATCAAAGAGACCAAAATCTGTAACATACGTTGTATATGTTAAATCAGAGAGTGTCGCAGTTTGTAAGAAGTACTTTTTGGATACTTTTAATATCTCAAATGGAAGACTTCAAAGGCTCTTAAAAAAAGAGGAACTGGGTAAGCCTCCGGGCGAACAGAAAATAGCCTCCTGAACTCAACATTAGGAAACTCTACAATCTTTATCTATGGTACTGCGAAGAAAAAGGTATGTCCCCAGAACAAGTGGTTAAAGAGCACATCTACAGAGACGTGTTCAACAAAGAATTCAATTTGTCTTTCCACGCACCTAGGAAGGACACGTGTGCACGTTGTGATAAGTACAAACTTTTAGTTGCAGTTTTACCTGATGGGCCAGAAAAAAATTCTCTGGGAACGCAGACAATTGTTGCAAGAAGACACAGAACTGTCAAAACATTCAGAAGATACTGTGGTTTTCACATTCGATCTCGAAAAAGCCCTGGCGTTTCCCAAGCTTTCTACTTTGGTTACTTATTATAAACGTAACATGTACGTGTATAACTTTGGGATTCACCACACTGCAACCGGCCAAGCGTTCATGTACACATGGGATGAAACTATTGCGTCCCGCGGGTCTTAAGAAATTGGTTCATGCCTCATGAAACACATTGAACTTCACTGTGCCGACACTAAACACATCATTGCATACAGTGCATGGGTCAAAATCGAAATATAAAGCTGTCACTGATTTGGGATGCTATAGTTGAAAACATTAACAACAGTGTCACTAAAGTAGATCACAAATTAATGGTGTCTGGCCATTCTTTGTTGCCCAACGATAGGGACTTTGCGCTCATTGAAAGGACAGCAAAATAAATTTTAATATACATGCCACAACATTGGATACGAATAAAAAGTAATGCAAGAAAAAACAAGTTTTATGTATACGAAATGCAATGAGATGCTTTTTGGTCAACTCAAATGTCACAAAATGAAAGGTGAACGCCGATAAAATGCCTTTTAGATGGTTACAAGTGGCTACAGTTTGGCAATTCTCCCAAAGTAATTATGTACAAGGAAACCCTGAGTGATATTGGGCAATTTAAAAGTTTGGATTTGAAGAAATCAGCCAAAGGAAGACCCCACACCTCTCTGTCAATGGACCAACTGTATTATTATCCCAGGCCAGTTACTACAGCAAAGAAGAAGGATATGCTAGAATTTCTTCAGTGGATTCCACCTGTTCAGCACCAGTTTTTCATTGACTTAGTAACAGTTGATGATGCTGTTGATGTGGGACCTTTGTCTGACTATGAAGAAGATGAAGATTAATATTGTTTTCTTAAAATACCTATTTATGTTTGTTTAGACGCACTATTCACTTCTGTTTCTGTTAATAATTAACTTATAATTAGGTAATTTTTCTTAAAACTTCTCTGTTCAAATTATAAAATAAACTTTTACAAAAATTGTTGTATTTTTAAACTGAAAGGTAAACTGAAAGAAAATTGCATACACTTTCAATAGAATCAATAATACAAACAAAAAACGTACAGTTTCATACAAGCTCTTCAGTGGAAAAGTGGTATAACTCATTGAGTTATACCCCTTTTCTGCTAAACTCGCCACAAATGTTTGTTGGTGAAATGGTATTCTAGAAGTAATATATAAATGCATGGGAACAATGAACTTCAATCATTGTAATTCGTATATCCCATATAAATTTCAACAAAATCTTGTCAAAAATCCGTCACAACTGGCTCCGTAAGTATTACTGAGATTTTTTAGTTCGTTAACATGCAAAAACTGTATTTACCAAAAGTTAAGTTATATACGGTTATACCACTTTTCGCCTGAGCAGCTCAAATATAAAGATTTGATTTGTATGTGTCAATCTGGTGTTATTCCAAGAGATTATTATACTTTTTTTAATTCATTGCCACATCACAATATTAATTTTATTACCGAATCTGCAGATTCAGATTGATTTTCTATGTATCATAGTCTAAATCTAAAAACATTTCTAGTTAGCCATACTTTTTACGGTATTGAAGAATTTTTAATGTATGTCTTGTAATGTATTTTTTTAAATGTAATTTTTAATGTTCTTTTTTTACTGTAACCTTTAATGTTTTGTATAATGTAATGTATAAATTTCTAGATGAATAAATTCTTTCTATCTACATTCATCATACAGATTTAGGTAAAAGATTGTTGTATAACCTTTATTTCGTCAACCAAGCAACACCAAGTAACTCCATTTTTTGATAAATGAGGATTTTGTTTCATTTGATGTGAAATCTCAGGTGGAAAATCTGAATGACTTTAGATTTGAAAAAATATCAACAGATTTCGCTGTAATAAAACTATTGAGGGCTGGTTTGCTGGATTCGTTTTCAACAAAAGTAAGTTATTTTTTTACTGCTCTCCTGTACAGTTGAAGAAAATGAGTTACATGGCGTTGCTTGATTGACAAAGATTTTCAAATACCCTGTGGAATAATCTCACAACTGAATTCTTTCAAAATGTCAATTTTTGTATTAATAATTTATTATTTAATTTATATTGTCAAATGGCTCAAAAAATATGGGTCTGCAGGTAAATGAGGAGAAAACTAAGATAATGGCATCAACACCCAACAATAGAGCCAGAAACATCTGCTACCAATTCACTTTTGATAACTCTACCTTTGAAGTGGTGGACAAACTTACATACTTAGGCTCCCTGATCACCAAGGAGAATGTCTTGACGGAAGAAATCAAGTGAAGAATAGTCCTAGCAAACAAATGCTATTTTGGATTGAGTAGACATATGAGAAGAAGAAACTTAAGCCAAAAAACAAAAATAACCATATACAAAACCCTTATACAACCAGTGTTGACATATAGATTGGAGACATGGACTATTTCCAAGACAGATGAAAACCTCCTGCTTATATTTGAATGAAGGATTCTGAGAAGAATATTCAGTGGGATCTGTGAAAATGGTGTTTGGGGAAGGAGGTACAACTATGAGATATATCACAGATATAAATATATATTTGGTGGTAAAGACACGAGTATCTCTTATAAAAATAGGAAGAATAAGATGGGCAGGAGATCTGGCAAGATCACAGCAGGACAACCCTCCTAGAAGAATCTTTATGTCACAACCTGTGGGAAGTAGAAGTAGGGGTAGGCCAAAACTCAGATAAAGGGGTGGTGTAGATGAGGATGGTAGAAAAATGGGCACAGCAAACTGGCAACAGTTGGCAATGGATAGAACTGACTGGCATAACAGACTTGGGAAGGTCAAGGCTCCTTTATAGGGCTGTAGCACCAATGATGATGATGAATTTATTATTCCTTTCTTACATTTTATTCTTTGTTAGAAAAATAATGAACTTGTCACCAACAATATGCTAAAACATTGTTTTAATTAGATGGCTTTGCTTCTTACTGCTTGTTTCCCCAGTGTCTGTTTGACAGTAGGAAGACCTATACTTCTACCAACACTATCATGGATTTAATTGGCAGACAAATTGCACACAAGTAGTTGAAGATGGATGTAGTTATGATTATGTTAAAAGGAATATGTTTATAGCTTTACCATCAAAAGGATATCTAAAATTTTTTGACAAACTGGGAGAAATAAGTGTAAAGTAGGTACTGAGAGAATACACTGCTATTGATGTCAGGTTTCTTCATGTTATATATTTAGCATCAGTTCATTTAAGACATCATCTTCAAGAAGTCAGAGCTATAAATGTTAGTATTTGGACAGTTCACACAAGATTGAAGGAATTTGACATACACACTAACAACTTTTTGATTCTTAGACATTTTTGCAGAGCAAAATAACCTTTTTTTTTGGAAAAGATTTCCGGACTGGAAATCGAAACATGAAACATTAGTTAAAAATGGTATACTCTTTAACTATTTACACAGGTACAATTTACTAGTATGTAAATATTTATCACATTGTTGTAAATTATTTTGAATATCTGCTCCTTTAATACTTAAATTCTGTTTTTTATCTTTTATCAAATTTTAGAAGTCAAAATCTTTAATTTTAGAAGTTAAAAATATACAAAAGAATCTCTGGAATTGTTGCATTCCTTATGTTTCTTTTTAAAATAGTTAAAACTGTAACTCTACTTATTTTTTGCTTAGTTTTGTCCTGTTTACTCTATAACTATATAAGAAATTACTACTTGACCATTTCATTATTATATTTCACAATTTGAAGAAACATTGTTAATTTTGTTTTAAGACTACAGAAGATTCTTGTAACCCATTCCACTTTGAACATAAGAGCTAAAGAACACCAAATGCACTTTATATATAACCAAAAACTAATAAAGGTCATAATATCAAGACACATCATGAAATGAACATATCACAAACCAATAGTAGAACTAGGGAAACAACATACCAAAGAATATAAGAAGCGTCTATATTCTTTGAATATACTGAAAAGATTAGGAAAGAACATTGACCTAATTTAAATATTGTAGATTAAGAGAAGTATATAGTTTTAAAACTGAATATAAACTTTAAATTCAACTAAAAGCTAACCAATTTTATTTCAATTATAATAGACAAGGGTTCTTTTTACATTAAACATTTTATAAGTGATGTATAAATTGCCTAATAGCATTCTAATTATATCAAAAATAGATACGGCTGTGGTGCTTCAATCTTAAATACACAAAAAGAAAATGTACTTACTGGATCCACAAAGTCCATGTTCAATCCATAACATAGCTTTTGTATCCTAGATGTAATTTTATCTACATGTACTTTTTCCCTCCGACCATCTTAAAAAGGAAATATATGAAAAATAAATTCTACAGATACCTTCTTAATACCTTACCTCTTTTAACAACATATAACTTCGTAGGTGTTCTTGGAACTTTCCCAACCATTTTGCCTTATTTTCAGACAAATTTAACAATAATTTATATTTGTTTTCAAAATGTAATTCGCACTACACTTGTACTTGTTGCAAAGCCGCTTGCTAAAACGATTTTACGCGCCAATTTTCTAATCTTCTTTTTAACATTCGGTTGACTGTAACCTTAGATAAGGAAGAGGTAACAGCACAGTATAATACTGTGGTAACAGTGTGTAAAATATATTGCCGTCTAATTTATTTTAGAAAATAGATTGTTATTTGTTAAAGCTTTTTAAGCAGCTATGTAATCTATTTATAAAGTAAAATATGGTAAAAGTAGAATATTTGTAAATGTGTTTCAATACTCAACGTATTAGCAAAGGCGGTACGAATAGTTTTAGAATATAAAACCACCATTGAATATATAGTATAAACTTGAAATAAAACTCATTTTATTCTAAAAATATAAATGATAAATAAGAATACAAAGAATAAATAAAGCTATCTTGGGGTAAATCCTACCTCAGACTATACAAGAGTAGAAGTAGTGGCTGTAAATATCCATTGGTGATTGTACGGCCGTAAAGACAAAAATAGAAGAATGATATTTTGACATTAGTCAGGTTAGCTAACAATTCATGATATTGGCGGGAATTAAAAGCTTTCTAGAATTTTTATTGCCGTTTTAATGATAGTTTAATTTCAAATTTAGATATAAAAAACGTTGAAAAGCATTTTTAGAAATCTTAACTATTAAAAATGGTAAAACCGTTGAATAAATTTTATGTTTTAAAAAGAGGTAATCTATATTCCACTTTATTATGTTAAATTAAACTAATTTATATTTTATTTTACAGGTGGCCGAAGAGAAGAGGTTCATATTGATAAAATTACATCCCGTATTCAGAAATTATGTTATGGCTTGAACACCGATTACGTCGATCCAGTAAGTATTGCCAGAAATAACACATCTCATGCAATAGTTTTGTTTCTATTTTAGATGACTATTTTTTTTCTTTTTTGTCCTAAATAGCTCACTGTAGTGTCTTAAGCTTATTTCTTCTTAATTATACTTTGTGGTAACAATAAAGCATCTGTTCCATGAGTGCACAAGTATTGTATTTGATTATATTTTGTACAACAAAGAACAGCAATCGAGTTATTATTGCACATCTATATTCTTTGTTATATAGTCTATATTATTTGATATAATTATGGTAATATTTTTGTTACATTAAATTACATTTTGAATAAATATTGAAACAAAAGACAGGTAGAAACCAATTAACTGTAGGGTAATAAGAATACAAAACATTTTGAATAACCAACATTTCCATTAAATTAAAATAATATATGCACAGTGCAAAGTTAATAAAATGAAGGAGATTTTTCTTTACCTTTTTATGTTTATTGTACTATTTTTTAAAAGAAATCTTCCATCATTTTCACTTTTATTTTCATATTCCAAAATTTTTCTATGTTTTTTTCATGAAAATTTAAAAGAAATGTAAATATTTCAATATTTTTGATATCATTTCAAGTAAACAGTATTCTGGTTAAAAGTATTGGTTTTACTGTTGTTTTTTGTTTTTGTGGTTAACAGGGGTTTTACTGGTGTTATCCAAGGTGTCTCCAAAAAATACACGGAATTTTTGTTTAAAAAATATTTATTTGTCTATATTATTGTTGTCTTTCAACAATTTTGGAACCAAATTTGGTGACACACATTTCATACCCAATATGTTTGAAAAAATGTCATGGCATGAGCCAATTGAAGTGCCAACTTTTCTCTGATGTGATTAGGCGGTCATTCATAATCATTTGCCACTTTTTTTCATTTTCATCAGTTCTTGAGGTGCTGGGGCATATGGGGTATTCTTCATCTTCAAAGTCTTCACTGCCATCTTGGAAACTTGTATACTACTCCTAAACACTTGTTTTTTTTCATAGCATGTTTATATTTAATTTTTTATTCAAAGTTTAATACAAATTCTTTATCCATTTTTTTAAATAAATGAAAATCACTGAGTTCATAAAAACCACTGAATCTTAGCTGCTACCACAGACAAGATAAACAATTAAGTAGATTAGAAATCGTTGATTCCTTATCTACCTTTGGGAAACTTGTTCTATGGGCACCAGCAGCGGGTGCTTGTGCACCCCCTATCCTGAAAGAAATACAGAGTTAGCTATACATGTATACTTCCATATTTTATATTGGTTAATAGTATGTATAGATGCAAATGAACCACTCTGGAAAATAATCCTGACGGCACCCATGATTGTTAATATAACATGACATAAGGTTGTGTTCATTTTATGAATGTAAATCCAAATGTGAAAAGTTGTGAATTCTGCCATTCCCCAGATGATGAATTAATTTTATCAGAGACAAAGCTACAAATTTTCAATATTCAAGTTCTTCCTCTTATAGAATCACAAATCTATTAATGTAATGGATCTAAAATACCCAAGGCATGAAGTTACTGCAAAGTATTGTATAGTGGGCATGAAGTTACTGTGGAGGATTTTGTGGTTGACTAACTTGAAGTCCTGTGTGCTTAACTTCCTGATTAAGTTATCCTGATCAAGTAATCCTGAAAACTCTTTCCAAATTATTATAAATATAGTTATGATATAAAATCAAGTTGAAATTAGTAGAACTACCTTTTAAAAATTACTCTGGATTTTTTAAGTGTTTAAAAGTCTGAAGATATTTTTTTGCTCATCAAAAAATCTAGTGGTTTAGGTATCTTCAAAAAAAACTGTCTGATTTGAAATTTCACCAAAATTGGTTGTTTCTTCTTTGATCCTAAACCAAATTTAACTTAAAGATGCAGTAGCAGTAAACAAACCAAGACACATTATCAACATTATGAATATTACGAGGAGCAATCCCAAATCATGATTTACAATTTATAAACGTACATAATATCCACCTCATAAACTATATAAATAGACATCGTATACGAAACTCAAGTATTAACAGCATACCATATCATTTAGTAGTCCATGTACGCGGAAGAATTGCTATAACTTAGTTGGACCACTGTTGTTCTAGTGATAATATTTTAGCCAGGGCGTGCGTCAGGGAATTATAGTGCTTGAATTTATTCATTTATAGTTATAATCAATGTTATCATTTAAATTTCATGATCAGAAGAATAACAAAGATAAAATCAAATTAATAAATATTACAATAAGGTTTTCCAGCAACATAATAATGTGAATTCGTTATTGTAATGCATTGAATTAATAAAATTAAATTAAATATGTAAAAATTGTTTTAAAATTAAATGTAATATCTAATACCGGTTTCCCACCAAACGGACAAAATAAAAACAAAACACAAACTCGTGTCCAATAAAACAAAATAGCAACTTTTCACAAACTTTTTAAAGACTGGCGTGTTTTAAAACAGTTCGTTTTGTTTTTCGAGTCACGAGTTTTTGAAACTCGAGTCTGTTTAGTGGAAACGGTCAGTTGTATATTAATGGACTACCTCACCTCTGAAGTCACAATATGCGGGGCTTCGAAAACCTTTCTAAACATTTCTACACTAAATATAAGATAGAGCTGCAGTAAGTATAAATAAACCGTCAACAGTATGAATGTTACGAGGGGCACTCTCAAATCATGATTTTAACGATGTATAAATCTATATTTTCCTGTATTATGAAATACATATGAACATATGAAGTAGGCATCGTAGCATAAGTTGCGGCCGACCGTATGATTTTTAGTCATTATATTTATAGTGATTATTGACTCAGCAAGGCCTCTGGTTGAGTTCAAAATAAACAACTGATTGAATCCTAACATGCAACATAGAAAATGAAAGGAGAGGGGATAACGATTATATTAAGATAGACAAAACAAACAAGATGACTACCAAAACGGCACTACACAGCATCTTCGTTATTAATGGACATATAGTTACATACGAAATATCATAGGACGCTATGGATGAAAATAGATTTACTACAAGACAAATTTTGATTTATTGAATCAAGGAAGGCCTCTGACTGAGTTCAAAATAAACAACTGATTGAATGCTAACATTCAGCATAGAAAATGAAAGGTAAGGGGATAAAGATTATATTACGATAGACAAAACAAACAAGACAACTACCAAAAGGGCACTACACAGCATGTTCGTTATTAATGGACGTATAGTTACATACGAGATATCATAGGGCACTATGGATGAAAATAAATTTACTATAAAACAAATTTTCAATTATTGACTTCAAGAAGGCCTCTGGTTGCCTAAAAAATAAACAACTGATTGAATCCTAACATGCGACATATCAACTGAAAAGGGACGATATAACAAATCTATTAAGATATATAATTGATTTTCTATCTTAATATATTCGTTATATCCTTCCCTTTCATTCACTATGTCGCATGTGGAGATTAGATCAGTTGTTTATCTTGTACCTACTCAGTCAGACACTTTTTCATCCGTAGTGCACTATGATATCTCGTATGAAAGTATACATCCATTAATAACGAAGATGCTTCGTAGTGCCCTTTTGGGTCGCCCTGTTTGTTTTTTCTTTCCTTAAGTAATCGTTATAGCTCCCCGTTCATTTTCTATATCGCGTGATAGGATTTGATCAGTTGTTTATTTTGTACTCAGCCAGAAGCCTTCTTTGTCAATCAATCAAAATTTGGCATATGGTTTTGCGTTCGTATTAAATTATTAAAACAATATGTACAATTACACGTGAATTTTATTGTTTTTCAAATAAAAACTGAAAACATAATAATAAGTTACTACTTTTGATTCGAACTAACACACAATTTACTTTAAAAAATAAGTGTAATTGATGTTTCGATTTCAATCATTTAAGTGTCAAAACAACGTTGCAATTACTGCTTTATTATTTTTGTCAAACCATAAGTTTCTTTTTATTTTACAGTAGGGACGTTTATTTTGAATAACCTTGAAAATAATACTAACATTGTATATTTTATCTTCTTTGTTCATAGTAAACAAATCTTTAATTGTACATACTGTTTTATTAATTTGATAGGAAATATAAAAGCAAAACCGCACGCCTATGGAGTCTTACGTAGCATAGCCTGGTTTTGTTTACTTTTACTGCACGTCGAATTTGAATCAACTGTAGATTTAAAAATTGGCATAAAAAGCTGTTTTTGCAGAGATGCGGAAAGGCAGGCACTATAGGCATATACAATTTTTTAGAAAAAAAAAGAATCCTATCATTCCATATATATATATATATATATATATATATATATATATATATATATATATATATTATAAGAAACTTTCTGAAGACTAACCATTTTTCCCGTTTTTGATCATAAATCATTTGCTATGATGGCTGCTCAGTAAAAGATCAAACGATATAGCTGTCTGACTTAAGTCTATGTTCCTTAAGATCTTGAAATAAATAAAAACTAAGTCATGCTGGACACCATGACTATTTAATACATGATTATATTTCCCACATATTCCTTGTGAGATTGTTTATTCTTATCTTGTCATCTCTAAATATCACTGACATTAAGCCAATGTAGGATAGACTTGCTACCATTTCATTATCTGATGGTCCTCCTTGAGAATCTACAATATTTGTAGTTGTATGTCCTTTAATTTCAGTTGGGCTGAATCAGTATTTAAATTTTCTACGTGGAAGAGTACTTCCACAAATCATATCTATTGAAACCATAAATTAAAAAATAAAAGCTTTCACCTTTTTAAATTTTAAAAAACCTAAATATTAATATTATTTTTTTTTCAAAATTATTAGGTTAGCATTACCCTGAAAGTTGTTAATGGCCTATACCCAGGAGTTACTACTGCAGAATTGGATGCACTGGCTGCAGAAACTGCTGCTACCCTCAGTGAAGATCACCCAGATTATGCTACTCTTGCAGCTCGAATTGCTATATCTAATCTTCAGAAAGAAACGAAAAAATTATTTAGTGGTAAGTCATTATGAAATAATCTATATTTTTTGCAACAATAGTCTGCAACTTTTGCAGACTAGAAATTTGTAATTAATTCTCAGATGTATTTTTGGAATAGTAAATTTAATATTATTTATAAAAAAGCAATCTTTATATTTAATGTGATTTACAACAGAGTAAATAAAAAGGGCTGAATGAAAATTTCTTCTATTATCCAGTTGCTGAACTTTAAAACAAGTTAACATAGCATTATAGGAAATCATGTATGGATAGACACCAAACTTTTTGACATAAAGAAAACTCAAGAATAGTTTTTGAACCTTTTCAATCAGATCAACATTGAATTCAGCTTGTGGTGCCCATATAATAGAGGCATACTTTAAGTGAGGTCTTACTAGTGCATTGTATAATGATATTCAAGTTTGAAATCTTTTAAAAAATTTGAATTATGAAGCCAAGAGTTCTGTATGCCTTTCCAATGATGATCTGATAATGTACATTAAATGTCAAATTTTGCTGAAACATTACTCCCAAGATCTTTGTAAGTGTTCTTTCTTCCAAGTACAGTGCTAGAAATTTTATATTGGTTCTCCATGTATTGTTTTTCGAGTGATAGTAAAAACATGACATTTAAGAAGTGTTTAAAAACATTTTGTTATCATCAAACCATTGACTTACTGAGTTCAGATCACATTGCAGGATCAGAGTTCTGTAGAGTTGAAATTTCTTGAAAAATCTTAAAATCATCTGCAAATAGCAGGCTTGTCGAAATCTTCACACAGTGAGGCAAATAGTTAATAAATATAGCGAACAGAAGAGGACCCAAGTTGCTACCTTGTGGTACACCTGATGTCGACATAAATGGCTTAGATAAACTGTTCCCACTTTAACTTGATTTAATCCATCAGAAAGATATGACCTCATAAACATACATGCTTCTTAATCAAAATCAAATTTGTTTAGCTTTTCAATAAGTATGGAGTGATCAATCTTATTAAAAGCTTTGGTACAGTCGGTAAAAATGACATCCAGCTGAGTTTTATTATTTATGGCCCCTGCTACAAAACTTGTAAAAACGCACACATTTGACACAGTGGACTTCCCTGGTAAAAACCATGTTGTTCTGGACAGAACCTATCTCCAAAGTAATTCAAAATATTGTTATAAAGTACATTATCGAATATCTTAACAGTTGAATTAATGACAGATATAGACCTATAGTTCTCAATGTTACCAGCATTACCAGATTTAAATATAGGTGTTAAAACTGCATGCTTTAAGCTATCTGAAAATTTACTTTGTTTATTGAGCAACAAATTAAAAATTCGTGTGAGAGCGACAGATGGAGTCTCTGCACAACCTTAAAAAATGTATGCTGGTATATTGTCATTATCTGTGGCTTTTTTGGTTCTAGTCTTTTAATGCTTTGAAGAACATTCTCAACTGTTATTTTTGAAAAGTAAAAACCCCCCTGATTCAGTGTACTATTGAAACTATTTGATCTTTGAAATATGGAGCCAAAGTATTCTGCAAAAACATTGGCAATATTTTGACAGCCACTTATGTCCACACCCCTATAAGAGACCTCTGTTGGAATTGTATTATTTACACCACAGAATTTTATAAAGGTCCAAAAACTACCAGGGTCAGTTTGTAGATTATTCTCAATATTTTCATTGTGACACCTATACTTTCCTACTAAGCTGTTTCACGTCTCTCAAGTGATTTATATTCAGCAAAAACCAAAGCATTTGCAGATTTATTTACCTGCCTATGAAGACAATTCTATAAATAAAGTAGGATACCTGTTTGTTGTTCTTAATACATTCCTTGACTGTTTTTTGGGCACTGACTGATCAATGCATGCATACAGCTTTTCATAAAACAACTGCATACATACATTCACATCCAAGCACCCCTCCAGCTCTGTCCAGTCCATATGTTGAATCAGGCCATATAAAAGATGAAAATTACCCTTTGCATAGTCATAGAAAAATGAAATTTTAATACAATTCTCGGTTGAATCTAAAAAATTAAATGTGCCATTAAAATCAAGAAAAAGATGATATATGTCCTTATTAACAAGTCATACATTGCATTTAGTTAAATTGTTGACATTCATGTTTGAAAATACTAAATCCAACCTTCTTTGTATGTGATTATACACTGAGTTGTGTTGGGTAAGATTATGAATATCAATAAAATTGGTTAACAAATCACATTTTGCACAGCCCTTATTACCATAAAAAGGCAAATTAAAATCACCTAACAACAAAAAATTTACATTAGTACCCAAAATATCATCAAAATTAGATAAAAAAAACTTTACATAATTATCATCACATGTATTAGGAGGCAAATATGTAAGACATAAATAGAAACATACATGTTTAAGTTTGACTTTTAGTAGTAAGCACTCAATATGACAACTTACATTAATTTGAACTGGTTCTACCCTAAATTTATTCTTTATTGCCAGCAGGACACCACTACCCCTGTTTTTTTCATTACTCCTGTCTTTCCTGTATACAGTATATCGTTGACCTACCAGTTCAGTATCCTTTGCCCATGGCATGATGTTATGCCCATGCCATGGTATTTCTTCCAAAAAATATGTTCATTATTTTACTGATATAATCACTACCTTTAGAAACTTTTAAATTTTACTATTTTTTACAGATGTAATAGATGATCTTTACAACATGTTTGATGAAAAACTAGGAGAAAAATCACCAATAATCTCAGAAGAACTTCACAAAATAATAATGCAAAATTCAGAACGTCTAAATTCATGTATGATATATGATAGAGATTTTTCCTATGATTATTTTGCTTTCAAAGAATTGGAAAAATCATATCTATTGAGAATAAACGGCAAAGTTGTGGAGAGACCACAACATATGTTAATGAGGGTAGCTGTTGGTATTCATAAGGAAAATATCGACGATGCGATTACAACTTATAATCTATTGTCAGAAAGATTTTATATCCATTCTACAAATACTCTACTGTTGGCTTCTACACCCAAACCACAATTATGCTCTAGCATTGTCATGATGATGCCAGATGACAGTATTGAAGGGATTTTTAACTGTATTAGACTTTGTGGATTAGTTTCTAAATATACCGGAACTGTAGGTCTAAACATTCAGAATATAAGAGCTAAAGGCACATACATAGCCGGTACTAATGGTGTATCGAATGGTTTAGTTCCTATGTTACGAGTTTTTAATAATATGGCGTGCTATGTAGATCAACTTAGCACCAATAAACCTTCTGAAATAGCTGTTTATATTGAACCTTGGCATGCTGATATTCTCGAATTCTTGAACTTAAGTAAACCCGGCGGCAAGGAAGAAGTAAGAACAAGAGATTTATCCTACGCTTTGTGGGTACCCGATTTATTTATGAAAAGGGTAGAATCTAATGGAAAATGGTCTCTAATGTGCCCACATCAATCTCCAGGTCTTACTAACTCTTATGGGGATGAATTTGAACAATTATATGAAAAATACGAGAAAGAGGGAAAATACATAAAACAAATACAAGCTCAAGAATTATGGAGAGCAATTATTGTTCTTCAAGCAGAGACAGGTGGTCCCGTTATGATGTACAAGGATGTATGCAACAGAAAAAGTAATCAAAAACACATAGGAACAATTAGGGTATGTACTATTGTAATATTTTATTATTTATTTTTTTAGTATGACAGCATAACATCATGATATTTCACGTAGACCAAGCTTTATGACTTATTTTTGAAAATAATCAGGTATTAAATGTCAAAATTTGTGCTTCCTCGTAACTGTAGCTATTTGAAATAAGAATTAAAAAGGTCACCATCATTTCCAGTAAAACCGAAAATCGCTTCAATGTTATTATTAAAAGTTGTTCTAATGGTTTCTTTAAAAGCAGTGGTGACAAGAGGCATCCATGCCGTAATCCTATTTGAATATTGAGAGCCTGTGATTTCACACCATCTACTATAACTGATGTTGTTTGATTCCAATATAAATTTGCAATTATTCGAACATCTCTGCCCTCCAAGCCAATGTCTTTTAGAAGTTCGATCAATATAGAGTGCTTAACGCGATCAAATGCATTTTGGAAGTCATAAAAACAACAGTATATGTCTACAGTTATATCTCGACATTTTTGAGCAAGTACGTTCATTCCAAACAGTGCCTCTCTCGTTCCAAATCTGTTACGGAAACCAAATTGTCATCCAGGTATTCCTCGCATTTATTGTATATATGACCATGTATTACCTTCAATAAAATTTTCAATAAGTGATTTAACAAACTGATGGTTCTATAATCAGCACAGGTTTTTGCTGTTGTCTGTTTAGGTAGAGCTATAAACAGTGAATTAGACCAATATTTGATATTTTTAATATAACTTTAACTCAGTTAAAAAGATCTCTTGCTTTGTGATATGTATTATTGGGATTTTTTAATTTTGTTCTTGTTATATTTTGTTTGTTTTTTTAGTATGTAAATTTTTGGTCTCATTTTTAAAACTTTTTTAAACTTTTAATATTGATTTTATATTATAAGTAATTTCAAGTTTTGAATCCTAACTATGATATTGTATATTGTAATTTAAATTGTTAATGGGGTTATTAAATAAATAAAAATAATTAATTGTACGCCTTATTACTAAATTTTCGAATATTGTCTGGATAAATTTGAATTTCCCTCGCGGATAGAATATGTAGGTATAAACAAACGAGAGTCAAATGGTCAATTAGAGTACAAGTTGTCGTAATGTCGATTCGTACTAGCCTGCAGTGTGCTTCTCTTCTGTCTTGAATTGTCATTGAATACCTTGTCTCCACTGATTTGCATGGAAATTTGGATTTAGGTTATACTTACCCTACACTTCAAAATTGGACTTGTGCCGTTGGTTGCTTTTTATTTTTTACCACATAATTTCTACCCTTATAAAAACCACTCCTTGCGAAGAAATTCAAATAGTTGTAGTTTTTTTTTCATTGAAACTAAATACAGTAATTTTTAAAATTTTATTTTGTTATTAGTTTGTAAGGATGGGTGAAAGTATGTCTGTGCCTTAATAGCACATTATGTCTATCCAAGTCTCCAGTATACGCGTTCGGATATCTCCTGAAATATGTGATTAGTTTTTTACTCAACTCAGCTAGCTTGTAAGCTACGAAGTACTTAAAAAACCCTTTTGTGGGTTTTTAAGTGCAATAAGATCATTTAAATACATTTTTTAAACCTTTATTTTTTAAAGGGCTGTAGTTAAAAGGGCTTGAATGAGTCACTAATCACGAATGTATGCAAAATTTGAAAAGCAATATCTTAACTAATTTTTATCTTACAGAAAAACAAAAAAAAGTCTTTTTGCTCTTGAAAATTTTGCGTATCACCAATACTTTTTAAGGTCTTTTAAAAAAGGTAGTTTTTTCAAAATTTTAAAAATGCTTGTTTTATTTTAAAACCATATTTTTTCAAAAATAAGCACTTTGAACTGGTCAAACTTACATATCATAATAACGTCAACATATTTTCCACAAAACTATGTAATTGATTATTTAAAATTTATTATAATTAAAATATTTTTCTATCTAGGGCGGAAGTTACAGCGGTGAAGTAGTTGCATATACATCAGATGAAGAAATAGTAGCGTGTCCCCAAGCTTCTATAGCTGTAAATATGTTTGTCAGTCCTGACAGAAAGAGTTTTGACTTCCAAAAGCTTAAAGAGGTTACTAAAGTTGTAACCAAGAATCTAGACAAAATCATTGACGTTAGCTTTTATCCCGTACCTGAAGAACAGAAGTCGAACTTAAACCATAGAGCCATTGGCATAGGTGTTCAAGGTTTGGCTGATACCTTCATATTAATGCGTATGCCCTGTGATAGCGAAGAGGCGCGTAAACTAAATAAACAAATATTCGAAACTTTATATTATGGAGCTCTGGAAGCAAGTTCTAATTTGGCAGAGTTAAATGGATCTTACCCAATGTATAAGGGTAGTCCTATCAGTAAAGGTATGTGCATAAGATTATCTATATCTCATCAAAATAAAAAAGCGGGTTGTAAAAAAGCGTCAAAAACGATAATCTAAGTAAAAAGAAAAAGTACTTTGTTGACTTGTTTGCAAAAAAAAAACAATATTAAGTTTGGGTGGGTTAGAGTCAATAAAAGGGGCTGTTAGAAGACTATTTTTTATTGCTCAAGCTTTCAATTACATTCCTTTTCAGAAGCTACAAGAGCTTCTACAGTCTGGATTGCTTCCCTCACTTCATACGCCACATCTTCCTATCTAAGCATTCATCTTCTTCTAAATTTCTTGAAACGCATTGCTTTATTATCAATGTTTTGTTTCCATGTCTTTGGTGTTCCTTTTTTCTTTTTCTTTTTTCCATTTCTAAGGTTTCTTAAAAACCTTAGAAATCAGCGACCTTAGAAACTACCGCCCCATTAGCTTGTTGTCACAAGTATATAAGCTATTTACAAGAGTTATTACCAACAGGCTAGGAAGTAAGTTGGATTTCTATCAGCCAAGAGAGCAAGCAGGTTTTAGAGCAGGATATGGCACAAATGATCATTTACAAGTAATTAAGAACTTAATAGAAAATAGTGTTGAATATAACAAGCCATTAGTCATGATATTTGTTGACTATGAAAAAGCTTTCGACACAATAAGTCATCAAAAGATGTTAAAAGCCTTAACAGAGTGTCGTATAGACCATCGCTATATAAACATGATAAAATACATCCATCAAAATGGGACAGCAAGTGTGAAACTGGCAGATAAAAAGACCAACATATTTAAAATAAAACGGGGAGTGCGACAGGGAGACACAATTTCGCCAAAATTGTTTACATTATTAGAGCATATGTTTACGAACGCAAATCTGAGTGAAAAAGGAATTAATGTCAATGAAGAAATGCTTAGTCATTTGAGGTTTGCTGACGATATTGTCCTTTTTGCTGACAGAATCGATGATGATGCAGTATCGCAATTGGAGAAACTATACCTAGCCTCCCTACAAGTTGTATTAAAAATCAACCACACAAAAACACAAATCATGACAAATCTTGTGTTAAGCGAAAAGATTTCAGTAAATGGCATGTATATTGAAGAAACCACCTCTTATAAGTACTTAAGACATGAGATACGCATAGGAAGAGATAATCAAACGTGCGAACTAAGCCGCCGCATAGGACTCACTTGGGTGGCGTTCGGCAAGCTGAGCTATGTACTTAAATCAGAACTGCCTATGTGTCCTAAAAGAAAAGTCTTTAATCAGTGCGTGTTGCCAGTACTTACATATGGTGCAGAGACATTAACACTAACCAAGAAAGTAAGAAATAAAATTTGTGTTACCCAAAGAGCCATGGAACGATCGATGTTAGGCATTTCTCGTAGGGATCGGATCACGAACAAGGAAATAAGACGGAGAACAGGAGTGACAGATGTCATAGAAAGAATTATGACCCTTAAGTGGAACTGGGCGGGGCACATAGCTAGAATGTCGGATAACAGATGGACACAGCGAATAATACAGTGGAGACCGAGACAAGAAGCACATCGAAGTAGAGGTCGTCCACCAACAAGATGGTCCAATGACATAAAACGGATCGACAAAAATTGGATGCAAACAGGGTGTTTAGGTCGCGCAAGCGCCCCTAACATGACTTGTCGACTACTTTCGTAGCCGGGGCCGACGGCTTTACGTGCCCTCCGAAGCACGCTGGCAGCTCAGTTAAATTAGAAATTGAAAATTTTGTTGGTGCCGGAATTCGAACCCGAGCCCTCCAGCTTGTTAAGCCAGTAACATAGCCACTGAGCTACGGCTGCCACTTTTCTATTTTTCTATTATAAGGCTATTTATTTTTGACGTAGGTTCTTCTGTAGATTACACGAGTTTGTGCAGGGCGGCTTCACTCGACTTCTCTGCCTAATAAGCCCATTATAGCAACTGCAAAGGATTTTCATTTTCATCTTCATTATTAATTGCAAAATAGTTTGAAACAAAATATAATTAACAAAATAAATCTAGTAGGGCTAAATTAGTTTGGTTAATCATATATTCAGTCAAACGTTTTTTTACTATTTTACATATTGTAGTTTTCTTTTATTTTAATGACTATTTTTATTATCTTTTAGGTATTCTTCAATATGATTTGTGGGATGTAAAACCATCTGATTTATGGGATTGGCAAACACTTAAAGAAACAATTGCTAAAACTGGTGTGCGTAATTCCTTATTAGTTGCACAGATGTCAACACCGATTCTATCTAGGTTGTTTGCAAATAGCGAATCTACCGACCTCTACAGATCGTTTCTATACACCAGACGAGTATCGTCTGGAGAGTTTCCTGTAGTCAATCCTTATTTACTGCGAGATTTAACAGAAAAAGATATATGGGATGACAAAGTAAAAGAAGCTATTGTAAGTAACGCGGGTTCAATTCAAAATATCCCAGAAATTCCGGATGATTTGAAACTGATATATAAGACCACTTGGGAAGTTTCACAAAAGGTCGTTTTGAACATGGCCATTGATAGAGGAGCGTTCATTGACCAAAGCCAAAGTTTAAATATACATATGATGAATCCAAACTACGGAAGCTTAAGTTCAATGCATTTCTATGGATGGAATAGTGGACTTAAAACTGGACTGAATAAATTAAGAACAAAGTCTGCCCCTAAAGTCTATAGCAAATTGGGCGACAAACAAAAAATTGATGTTCCTGCCAAAGAAGACGATTTAGAAGAAATGAAGAGAAAACAAAGGGAAGAGGAAGAAAAGAATTTAGCTAGTTTGGTATGTTCTCTCCAAAATCGTGAGGCTTGCGACATGTGTGGAGCTTGAGTTAATTTATATTTTTAAGTTTTATTAGTATTTTTATTTATATAAGCAAGATGATCTTGATTTATACATATCTGATAGCACTATAAGCACTTGCAAAAGTTTTTCTTTTATTATTTTTAGTTTTTGAAATGTTTGTATTTAGTATATAAGAATATTGCAATGTAAATATATAAATTTTTTATCCTTTATTTATCCTTGTTTTCCTCGTGTCCAATCCTAGAGTTGGATTAATTAATATATGATACACAGATATATCTAAAATATTAATATTTTAAACTAGCACCCAAAATCAAAGGGTAAATACAGAAAATCCCAAGAAATAGAGCATTATAACTGAAGAACTACATAAACTGATTTCAGGATAAGAAAGGCCAAAAATAAAGTATTTCTTATAAAAATTGATCAGGATATCTGCGATAAAGTTACGTTATTCGCAATAAATTTCAAGGTTGATAGAGTTTGACTGCAATCTGCACCTTTACTGGGGGATACAGTGTCAGCACAGGTAGCCAGAGATTGTCCGAAGAGATCTCTTGACATTTTTGTGGAATCTCATCATGAATGGGCATAGCTATATTTAACATGACAAAGATCATGTTCTGAGCTATGCAGTTGACCTGGTGATCTTAGTCTTCTGCAAATTTTTATGTCGTACTCGAAGATTGAATGACTGTAATTTCAGATTGGACTTCAAATGTATAAAGATATAAATGACTGTAATTCAAATAAAGATATCTTCTTCTTCTTGTAGTGCCTATCCGTTTCGGATGTTGGCGACCATCATAGCAATCTGCACTTTACACACTGCTGCTCTAAAAGATTTGTGGTTGTTGTATTGAACCACGTTCGTAGATTTTTCAGCCAGGAAATCCTTCGCCTTCCTGGTCCCCGTTTTCCTTCTACTTTTCCCTGCAAGATTAGTTGCAGCAGTCCATATCTTTCGCTGTTCCTCATGATGTGACCGAGGTATTCGATTTTAGCTGTTTTTATTGTGGTTAACAGCTCTTTTTCTTTTTTCATTCTCAACAGAACACCCTCATTAGTAACGTGGTCGGTGTACGATATCTTCAGGATGCGACGATAAAGCCACATTTCAAAAGCCTCAATTTTCTTGCAGGTGGCGTCTGTGAGAGTCCATGACTCAACTCCGTACAACAGTATAGGAAAGATATAACATCGTAGTAACCTGATTTTTATGGGCATTGATAAATCATGACATTTGAATAACTTGGCCATTTTTTGAAATGCAGATCTTGCTTTCTCTATGAAAGCAAGATCTGCATAAAGAATGCATAATAAAGATATGAATGACTGTAATTTCAGATTGGACTTCAAATGTAGGAGCCAATTTTCGACAAAGAATTTCCAACGCCAAAAAAGAAAGTGCTTTAGACAAATAAAATAACAATCAACATGTGCTGTATAATAAAAACAGAAAAACCGTTAAAGTCACACAAAAAAAATAATAGCCAACTCAGAGTCCACCAGTCAAGCACGGAAATGAGGAAAAACTGCTAAGAAGCTTTGAAATTAGCAGCCGAAAGAGGGCCAGCGCCACCTCTGCACAGAAGGAATATTCGGTTTTGTATAATTCGTAAAAGTATCTTAAAATATATGGATCATCAAAATAATTTGATAAAGATGCATTGGTGGGCTTGCTTTTCTTGGTAATGTTATTAACAGTGACTCCAACCAATTATCTGGTATTATTCCTTCGGTGTAAATTTTCGGTAAAGAAGGTAGTTAAGTAGGCACTGTCAAAAATATCACTGATGTATCTCTTGCACTCTTGTTTGTGTTTACAATTTTTTCCGTCTGCGTTTATACATAACCATTTTTCAGTTCTAAATTCTGGAGCTATACTTAAGTTTCTTGTGGAGATTAAAACTGTCTTTGAGATAAAAACTGTGTTTTTTTTGGAAGTCTACTGCTGTACATAAATTCTCGAGCCAAGATTCTTTGGCTTGCTTAATTTCTCTTTTTGATTTCGCGCCATTTGTTGATATTTCTATTTTTGTTTCAGTCGAACTTACATCAGGACTAGGATTTCCTGTGTCATCCACTCAGTTTTTGCCAATATTTGAGGTGGTTTCAAAGACTTTCTTCCTCTAAAATCGAGTTTTGTAAGTCGTACCAACATTCGTTGATGGTTCTGTTTTCGTTTGGTATATTGGTAATTTTGTGTATTTTTTTATTTATCTGCTGTGATATGTATTATGGAGCTATGGTTAACAACACAGGCAGTTGGGAACCCGAAATTCGAAGACGCATAGCTGGAGGGGATCGAATGACTTAACTAAACGAGGTCAATGATTGCCAGACTTAGGCGGCCAAAGAATAGTGTAGACGACGCACAGACGCTTTTGAAATATGGACATGGAGACGATTACTTCGAATTCCATGGACGGCTCACCACGAATTTTTCGGTTCTAGATAAAATTAAATCTAATCAACATCTGTCTAGTAGAGTTTACTCTAGAATTTTAAAATTCTTTCGTCATATCCATCGAAGTGATCACAAAATGGAGAGGTTGTTTATCCAAGGAAGGTCTCAGAGGCAGCGCCAACGTGGTAGATCTCCACAGCAATGGACAGACAAAAAATCTTTTCAACAAACAGTATACTATATAACAGTTCATCTTTTCTACTAAAAACGCTGGAAAGGCTTCTTGATAGGTACATAGAGACAAATAAATAGGCTTATCTCAAAGTCAATGGAAGACAAAGAGATAGCAATGGTCGCTTTTTTAGACATAGAAGGGGCATTTATTAATGTTACCACCAGCTCTTTGATAGGAGCTATGAGTAGACGAGGCGCACCTGCGGTAATATGCAGATGGATAAGGGCATCTCTGGTAAATAGTACAGTAATGTCCACTCTGGGTGAAGCAACCGTCAAAGCAAAAATAGGTGGAGGCTGTCCACAAGGAGGAGTTCTGTCCCCTCTATTTTGGGCAACCTCGATAGATGATCTCAGAAATCTGTCCACAGAAGGCTTTTATTGTATAGGATATGCTGACGATATAGCAATCGTTGTCAGGGACCGGTTTGCTCAGGTGGCAAGGCCTAAAACCACCGGTGCTGGAAAGAACAGAGATTTCATTTGCCAAAGAAATCAAATACCTTGGGGTACTATGTCCCTGGGCAAATGTAGAAGAATGTGCGGTAAAAATTGGCGACTTAACCCCAAAATGAATATATGGTTATACGCAAGGGTTATTAGACCCATGGCTCGGTGACGTGGTGGACAAAGACGTAGCAAGTGGGAGTAATAAGGTTGCTACATAGGTAATACATAAAGGCTAGGAGGTCTGTGTATTACTGGGGCCATAAAAACAACTCCTTTTGATCGTTGGAAGTCCTGCTGAATCACCACCACTTCATATCTTTATAAGGGCTAAGCCAGATAAGTGATCAACAGAGTAATCCATAGTCAGCGACATATAAGCCAGATGCATGTTGCTGACAACAGAAAGCTAATTGAGGAGCTAAAAGCCGATATTGTGATAACGAAACCTATGGATGATACAACAGCTATGAGATGTAGCTTTAATAAAAAGTTCACAATAAGATACCAGGACCAGGCAGGGAAGACTGGAATAAAGATGTACCCATACAAGCTGCTGCTACCTAGTACACGGATGGCTCAAAAACATCGGCGGGTGTGGGAGCAGGCGTAGTAGGGACAAATTACATACATTTCTCGGTAAGTCTATCTAGTATGTGACAATTTGTCAGGCGGAAATAACGACAATCCATCACTGCGTGGAAGAAATAGAAAGGCAGGAAAGAACGTTTTGTTCAGTTGCCATCTTCACAGATAGGCAGCGCTTAAGGCACTCAATTCTGTAGAGGTCAATTCTAAGCTAGTATGGGATTGCATGTATGCCCTAAATAAACTAGGAGACCGTAGCAAGGTTACGATAGCCTGGCTACCGGGACACGAGGGTCATAAGGGCAATGAAAAAGCAGATGAAATATCCAAACAAGGCTCATCAATGCCATTCATTGGACCGGAACCCTTCTGCGGCGTTGCAAAGTCAGTAACAAAAACTGCGACAAGGAAGTGTTTAGCTCACAAATCTCTGTGATGGTGGAGCAATTAACCAGGACAAAGACAGGCGAAACAGTTCATTACAGAACATTCGCCAAAATTTACGGCAGACCTAATAAGCAAAGACAGGAAAACAGTCAAAGCCATAGTAGGTCTTCTAACAGGACACTGTAAGCTGAATAGGCACTTGAAGCTGATGGGATTATCAGATGATGACCTGTGCAGATTCTGTCACCTCAAAGAAGAAACAGCAGAGCACATTTTATGTCAGTATGACAGTCTGGCAAATGTACGGTTCTTTGCATTAGAAGAAAATCTACCGGCAAATAGCAACATGGAAGGTACAGTCTGGAAGCTACTAGACTTTATAAAAAGGGTCAGGCTAGAGAATATTATCTAGGACTAGAGGACCATAATAGATCTGAAAAGATCGCAGTAGAATAGGCCAAAAGGCCACCTCTCTAAATATATATATCTATATAACAGTTGACCGAGGCAAATGGAGAAAGAAATGTCTGAAGCTCAATCATAAACCACAAAAATGTGGCAAGATGTTAATGACTATGATTAGAAAACGTGTAGAGTTGTCAGCTATATTTGATATTTATTTTTAAAAGCACTTGAACTATAAAAATATAATATAATAATATTATTTTAATCAATTTATTTACATTTATACAATTTCGAAATAATCAAAAACAAATATTTTTATAAACATCAAATAAAACTATGTATAGGGCCCGCGTAGCGCAAGCGGTAGTGTGCTTGCCTCGCATGCCGGTGGTCGTGAGTTCGAATCCTACCGCCGGCAAGAACAACTAGGCATTTTTAAAATGTCTATAGGCCCAGGTCGACTCAGCCTGAATAAAATGAGTACCTTGGGTAAAACCAGGGGTAATAATAGGCGGTTGAAGCGTAGCACTGGCCATGTTACCTTCCTTGTATACCGTAGGCCCTAGATATAGCAGACTACCCTGCTATACTCCCAAAGCCGCGTGCGGTATAAAACGGGAGACTATTATTATATATAAAACTATGTATACAAAGCATTATTATTTGATTTACAATACAAAATAACTTTACTTATATTTCTTTGGAACCTCAAACATAGCACCATGACCAGGAACAATATAATCAGCCATTTTCAAAATCTTCAGCCTGTTTTCTCTTTGCAAACTTTCGGAATCGCTTCCTGCTGACAACCAAATATACTCGTTATCAAGATCTTCAAATTTTTCAAACAGATCTCCTGTGACAGCCAACACTCCTTTGTCAGTTTCTACAATGACTGAGACGTCTTGCAATGTATGGCCTGGTGTTGGAATTACTTTTATTTTATCATTAATTTTGTATTGTTCGCCATTCCTAAAGTCTGGATCTGTATAGTATTTATCTTTGTGAGAAATGGAAAAACCTACTATATGAATGGCGTTTTTAAACAGATAATTACATCCTGTGTGATCTGAATGGCCATGAGTTGACACTACGTAGTTTATGTCAGAGCAACTAATATTTTCGTCTTTTAAAGCATTCATCAATTTATCTCCGTCCCAAGGAGTCATTGTATCAATGATAACATTGTGGGGACCTTTAATTAAAACACAAGAACAATTTGCATAGTAGTCACCTTTATCGAGTTTGGAGTATCCGTCAAAAAGTACTTTTATGTCTTGCATATCCATTTTTGATTGTCTATTCCTGTTAAGTCTTTGAGTAATGTCAATGTAATATTTACATCTATTACGAACGGATATCTATGTACCTAAAAAATAAAAGAAAAAAATATAACATACAATAAATATATACACAATATTAACAAAGATAACACTTAATCGTTTCAAGAGAAGTCAGAGGCAGTCAGCATGTCGACGGAGAGTATGTATGCCTTGCAACGTCTTCTTTCACAGTGCGGGGCGCCAAGATACATCCGGCTATCCGGCTTTCAGTACGGTACAACGAAAAGACATGGTCTCATTTCTTTGTATCATGGGCATTCAGTAATTATCAGACACTGAAGAGTAGTGTGTAGTTCTTTGCATAAAATTATTTCGTCGCCAACTTTCCGTCAGCAAATCTTAAGAAAAACTCGAAGACTTATATTTGAGTTTTAATTGCAATTCTTGTAAATTTTTACTATGTTAGCTTGGAAATAAAACAATAATTGACTTAATATTAATAAAACATAAATATTATTTTTATATAAGAAAAAAAACCAACTAAAAAAATTATTCTAAATAATTAAATTAAAATTAGAGGCATTTTTAAAAACTAACCAATTAAATCTTCTAACAAACCAATATTTTGCTCTAAAAAATCCGAATCTCTCAACTAAAGTAAGTCTCATTGCATTCAGCTGATTTGGCTGTACCCCAGACAGCACAAGACATCCCTGGGACGTCCATTTTATGCCATTTTAAGGTCCAAACGTCCCGGGACTTCTTTTGGACGTCCAAGGGATATTTCTAGTCGGACATACCAGGGACGTCCCATAAGGTCGTCCGAGGGACGTCCCATTAGGGATGTATTAGGGATGTTTTCTAGATGTTAACTGTGTCGTTTTTTACTTAAGCATATTTTTTACAAAATATAATATCTTCCTACTAAACTTTATTTTAAAAAGTTATATTTAGTTTTAAATACCATTAATTTATACGAAAACAGACATCTCTAAAATTTTGTTCTGTAGTGGAACTGAAATTTAAAAATTAGAAGATGAAAGAAGAATGTGGTTATGTTTTAATGACGCTTAGCTTTAGCTAGCATTTTCGGAATCTTTTATTTCTCGAATTATAATCATTGTGGTTGTGGTTGTAATTAGAGTTAGTTTATTGCATTTCGATACTAGTTTGGTAATTTATTATTATAGACATTAAGTAGGTATATAAGAATTTTATAGGTAATTTTTGTGGTTGTGGTGTGAGTTGCTACATTTGTAAAGTAAGTACTAGTAATGTGCTTAAAAAATACTATAAATTTAAATACATAATATGTTAATGTAAGTACACAATAAAAATCCCATTTATTTTTGCTTTTCATTTTATTAGTTTTTTGTAAGTTCCCTTTAGGTCCTGTATTAGTCCATGTGGACGTACAATGCATGTCTCCAATACATCCTTTTTAGGTCCTATATAAGTCCGTATTAAGTTCTGTATTTGTACTATGTACGTCCCCATGAACATCTCTGGGACGTCCAGGGGACGTACTTTTTGGTAACATTTAGGTCTTATTGGACGTCCCGGGGACGTCCAAATTATGTAAACGGATGTCTGTGGGATGTCCGAACATTTAATGATGTACATCCTTCGGACGTCCATGGGACGTACTTGTGCTGTCTGGGTACCCGACTACAGAGTTAAACAATTTTTTCTTGCAATTTAGCTAAATTGGTGGCTCCTTCGAATTCCTGTCGATATAATTTTGATTTTAGTATTCCCTAGAAATAGGGAAGAATATAGTTGAAGAATATATATACTTAGGACAAAAAATAATCCTAAATGGGGAAATTCAAAAGGAAGAAATAAAAATAAGAAGAAAGTTAGCTTGGGCAGCATTCGGTAAACTGAACTATATACTCAGAAATCAACAAATTCAATTACATCTTAGATCTAAAGTTTTTGATGCATGCATTATTCCGATATTAACTTATTCGACACAAACATGGACAATCACAAAAAAAAATATGAATATACTTAGAGTCACTCAACGCACGATGGAAAGAGCAATGCTAGGTATATCACTTAAGGACAAGAAAACAAACACATGGATAAGACAGAAAACCAAAGTCACCGATGTGGTGCAAAAATCATTAAAGTTGAAATGGGAATACGCTGGACATGTAGCTAGGAGCGATCTAAACAAATGGCACAGGTCAATTTTAACCTGAAGACCATCTTCTTCTTCTTCAGGTGCCATCTCCGCTACGGAGGTTGGCAATCATCATAGCTATCTTAATTTTTGAGGCAGTAGCTCTAAATAGTTGTTTTGAGCTGCATCCAAACCATTCTCTCAGGTTCTTCAGCCATGAAATTCGTCTTCTTCCGATGCTTCTTCTGAAGACCATACCAACACAAAAGACCTAGAGGCAGGCCTCCTATAAGATGGACAGATCATCTGAAAAGGACTGCCGGGAAAAATTGGCTACAAGTAGCGTACAATAAAAAACAATGGAAAGGAAGACTGGAAGAGGCTTATGTTCAAATCTGGAGGTGAATGGCTAGACGAAGAAGAAGAAGAAATAAAAACCCAATGTGCTAAATCTGGTAATCTAGGGGCCCATGTTATTTTTTCTCGTGTAGAAATTAATCGTCCAGGGAATATTTGTTCCAAATAAGTTGTTACTTCGATTGCATTATGTGCTGGAGAACCATCCTGTCGAAACCAGACATCTTCGAAGTTGGCCGCAAGGTTTCGACCTGCTGGAATAATCTGATTGCGTAATAAATCTAGATACTTACGTCCATTCAAATTTCCCGTAATAAAAAATGGACCAATTATATTATTCGATTCAATTCGAGTCTCCTACCATTTCCTTATAACATGTATTTCATGGTCTACCCATCATCAGAAAGACTTATAAGAAGACTGAACTGAATCAAAATGCACCGGCTAGTATGGTAATTATAGTGAAATAACAACAAGAGAAATCATAAGATTTCCTACCTGGCGAAACTGAATTCAAATTTTTACCGCTGTGCTTTCTACAACTTGCAAAGCAAACAGATTCATGAATTACTCGGCAAGGGAATCTAAAATCTGCATTCCACCTGCCGTTCATCATGGTCAAAATTCGTAGTGAATTCGGTTTCTGGTACTCCAAACAGAGTAAAGAAATAAACCATAATGACGGTATTAGATTTTTATTTCTATGCAGGGCAGCGATAAGCCGCTTATACGTATTTCAACTTCTTTTTTATGTTTCATTAAAGCGGCATCTCATTATGTATTATAGTGAAATAATATACCAAAGTATGCATTTAGCAACCTCAAACGAGGAAAGATGAAGTGAGTGTCGATAGCGATTAAAGTGCACTGTGAATCCAAGTTTAATCAATCTTATTATATACATGTGTTAATAAAAACGAGAGCAGTTATCTTTCCTATTTTTTAGGTTAGTAAAAATTATATCCGTTACTATAAGTTCACGGGAAGCAAAGAGTCAACATCTAGCCAAACAGTGTCATAAAATTAAAGAACTCAAAAATATATACATGTTTAACATGTATAAAAAAGTGAAAGAAGCAGCTGGTATCTTCAATAGGGGGCAAACTGCACTGCTACATGATGGACATGGTAAAGTAATATTTGAAGTAGAGGACAAACTTAGAGAATGGGAAAATTACATTACGAACCTATTCGAAGACGATAGGATTTGGATATCGTTGATCTCCGGATATTATCAACTGCGACGGACCCCTAATAACACGCTCTGAGGTAATACAAGCCATACAATCATCAAAAAATTGCAAAGGGACAGCTACTGTAATACCGCTTTTCAGTGCCGGTTTAACACAGTCTGCTCAAATGCCGCTCCCAGGCTCAAAAATATTTCTTAACTTTATTTCAATTCAATAAAATGTATTTTGAATACAAATTCATTAAAATAAGGAAAACAATTACAACATTTTTTGTTTCAAACTTAAAAAACACAACACAAGAAAAAAAAATTAAGGGCGAACTTCAAAAAGTAAAATAAAAAGGTACCTAATAACATTCAAGTAGGTAACATCAAATACCTTTACTATTGAAAACCTTGTTTTCTTGCTTTTACTGAAACGACGTTTTCGATGATATCATTTATATTTAATTCATTTAGCAGGTCCTCGTTGATGGATAAAACTGCTAAGAAGTTTTTTTCCCAAGAAGAAATTTTCTTGGGAAATTGCATTTCTTAAGTAGGTCTTTACCCTTTTTAGTGTTGAAAGAGAGCGTTCGCCATTTGCATTTGCGACCACTATGGAGAAAAAAACACGCAGGCAAATATTAATGTTTGAAAACGAAGATATTGGACGATATCTTCGTTTTGTAGATTTTAATAAATTTAAATATTTAAATGGAGAATGCTGTGATTTTGACATTTGTTCACCATTTAAATTATGAACTAAAATTGACAGTAGTTGTGGTTCAAAAAGTTCTGCAATTTAAATTGCTTCTCTAAAATGCCGTTCTCTAAACCGTTCTCCTATTCATAAGACGACGGTACAAAAAACTGTAAGGCGATTTAAGGAATCTGGAGAGGTAAAAGATAGATACCGACCAGGTTGACCGAAACGAGTTATCAATGACAACAAAACTTCAGATATAAGCAAAGTTTTGTTGAAGATTCACATACATCCCCAGGCAGGGTTGCACAAGTACATGATTGTCATTCTTCAGTCTTACGTTTATTACGTAAAAATAAATTTAAATCATATAAAATTAACTTATTGCAAGAATTAAGTGAAGATGACTTTGGTCGTAGATTAGAGTTTACTGAGGTAATGATGGATAAAATTGAAAATTATTAAAATTTCGTTAACAGAATATGTTTTTCCGATGAAGCAACTTTTACACTGTGTGGAAGTGTAAATCGATACAATTTAAGGTACTGGTGTGACGTAAATTCACACTGAAGACTGAATGCGTGAAAACCATACTCAAAGACCACAAAAATTAAATGTATGGTCAGATATAGTAGTTACTTATTCAATTGGGTCATTTTTTGTCGAAAGAAATTTAATGTCAGATAGTTGGTGTAAATGTTCGGCGATATTTACCTAGATGAGA